CTAGGTCCAGCCTGTGAGAGGCAGTGTGCAGGTACCGGCAGGGAGAATGGAGCAAGAAGGAGACCCTGCCTCTGGTGTTTGATGCTGGGAAGACCAAGGCCCCGGTCGCTGTGCTAGGAGGGAGTGTGGCATCACAGAAGAGATGGGGCCCAGCAAAGGGGTTCGGGAGGTCACCAGAGGGAGACCCCCACCAGATCCAGAAAGGTTGCGTGTGTCGGGCCGGTGGAGCTGGGGAGGCAGTTCTGGGTGGAAGTCGCAGCCTGAGCACGGGAACCAAGGCAGGAGAGCGCAAGGCCCTGCTGAGGACATCCATCGGCCGGCCCAGATCACTTGGACCACCTCTGACGCCGTTCCGTTCTGTTGTCTCTGCCCCCATCTCTCCCATCTCTCCTCCCTAGTTCAGCCTGCTCCACAACCGGCAGTGGATCCTAAAACACAGATCTCATCTTATCACGCCCCTACTCCTAACTCCAGCATTTAAAGTCCACATTCCTTAGTGTGACCTCTGATAGGCTTTCCTCTCCAACCTGGCCTGCCCACCCCTCTGGAACCCTGTCTCTCCCTCCCCTCCAGGCTTTGCTTGACCTGGTCCCACCATCTGGAACGCCCTTCCTCATCCTTCACTTGGCAAGCGCTTTTTCACCTTCAAAGCCCCGTGCAATTGGCACCTCCTCTGAGGAGCCTTCCCAGCTTCTTCCCCAGGCACAGCAATTGCTCTCTCATCTGCAGCCGATGATACTTTCAACCTTCTCTACTTGTGTGTTCAGCCTGGTTTCGCGGGTTGTGACTTTCTCTCCCAGGAGAAAGTGAGCATTTGTGTTTTATTCTTTGCACTCTAGAGACCAGCCTGATGGGGCCTGCAATGCAGGAAATAAAGATGTATTGTTGCATGGTGATTTGGGGGGCGTAAGGCAAAGGTAGGGTAAGTTAAACACCAAGATAAATGACGATGCTCTGGCTCATGGCAGTACGGAGTCAGGGCTGAGGGAGGTGCTCAGAGGACCGAGGAGGCTTGCAGCCCAGGAAGCACACAGGAGAAAGGGGAACCTGAGAAGCTTTACAAGACATTTAGGATTTAGATAAGCCACAAGTGGTAGCTTGCTTTTATTGGCTTGCCAACTCCGGACAATGGGGAATCGCTGCCCGGAACGCTGTGAGGAGCAGAATTCTCAGGTGGCAATGGCCTAGGAGGCCAGCGTGACAGGACGGATTGGCCCTTTGGCGTGGGGGCACTCACTCTGTGTCCACCTTTGGCTGGAGAAGAGGACTGGATGGTTCCGCAGGTGCCCGGGGCCCGCCTGCCGTCTTCCCCTTGTGCCTCCACTTGGAGGAACCCAGCCCTGACTCCCCACCCCTCTCCCACCCGCTGTCTGCTGACTTGCCAGAACCCAGCGCTGCCCCAGACGGCTCTTCCTGCGGGAGACCCCACGATCCAGCAGGGTTAGAAATGTCCCTCGCTGAGATCAGGTCTTGAGATTCCCCAGGTTGGGGGACCATGACAGCAACTGGAGTGATTCTCTGGATTGTTATGGGCCAAAAAGCCCATTTAGGACAAAAGAAAGGGGACTGGGTGGGTGGGTGGTGGGAAGACAGCCTGAGTTGCGTCTCTGTCCCTCTGTGTTACTTGAAATGGCCTCTTAGGGGCTTGGTCCCTCTCTCCGGCTGATTGAACGTGGCCGACAGAATCGCAGGTGTGGCACCTCATTCTCTTCTGCTTTCCTTCCAGTCATTGCCAAAAGTGGGCCGTGCCCCTGCGTGCGTCCAGCATGTGGACAGCTGATGTGGGGTGGGCTTGGAAGAGCCCGGGGCTGGGAATGGAATCGCAGAAGCTAGACTTGAACCCATTTCACACTGAGGTGGGCGTGAAAGCACGCGTTCCGGGCGCAGTGTGGGAGCGATACTGGCTCTGCCTGCCTCTCTGGCTCTGATCTGCTTGCTCTGGCTCTCACCTGTATGACGAGAAGGAGCCCACTGCTCTCAAGCCCACCTTGTAATGGGCTCCCCAGTATAACCCTGACCTTGATCCCTGTGGGGGTGCGGAAAGAGGGGGTGCAGCTCAGAATGGCAGCTGAGGTCTGTGAGTCTTGCCTTCTGGCAGACAAGACGACATGGAATGGAGCGCGGCTCTGATACCTGGCCCTTCTTTAAAAAAGAGACTAGAAAATGGCTAGTTCTTCTTCTGATCTTTAAAAAAAGAAAAAAAAGTCCTCATTTTTTCAGAAAACGTACCATTGATGATGGAAGAGGGACTGGAGCCTCAAATTGCTGATAAAGCTTTTAGTTTCTGCACGGAGCTTTGTTCTGTGGGGTGCATGGGCCTGGCCACTGGATCTTTTAGTCTGACACCTGTAGAGCCGGTTCTGCTAGCCCCTGAAGGAATTCTTGAGAGGTGGCCCCAACAATTCCCACACTTCTTGGTTTCACGCAGGAACATTGCTAATGGGTTTCACAGTGCCTGGTGTGGACAGTGGTCCAAGCATCTTTCTTATCAAAGAAACACTAGAGATGTACTATGATCCACCTTCAGCCAAAGGCACAGTGAATGCCATCCCATCAGCTGTACATTTGCCTGTGTGTGTTGTTCTCCAAACACACTTTGGTCCACCTGGCTTCCAGGATTCATTTCTCTATTTAAGCGGATGGCGGTTGTGTGAAGGGCCCAACCATTGCCCACTGTAAGGGATATGCTTTAGCGGAAACACTGTGGTATTGTGGGATGAGGTTGATAATTACTATACCCATTTGATGGACAAGGAAACTGAGGGCCAGAGAGATGAAGTCATTTGCTCAAGGTCAGATAGCTGATTCATCCAGGATTTTTAAACAGATCCCACTGACTCTAATCCCCATGCCATTTCCACTGCACCCGTCTGGAGCATTTGGACTCCGCACAAAGGGCAGAAGTTAGGGTGGGCTTCCCTTCCAAGATGGGATCCACTGAAAGGAGCTCACAGGAGACGCAGACTTAGAAGGGACACCCTAGCTGGGCCTTGGAACCAAGGTAGAACAGAGCACTGCTGGGTGGTGTCACTCACTCGACCTCTCAGCACGAAATGCTGACTTATATTTGGTTGTCTTGTCCTTAAGTCCCAGGAACCCCCAACCTCGGAAAACTTAGCAAACCCTTTAGAAGAAAAGGTAATGGAAGAATCGACCAGCAGTAAAAAAAAGGAAAAAAGGAAACATATGGACCACGTAGAAAGTTCAGTATTCATAGCACCCGGAACTGTTCGATCCTCAGAGGACCTAGAAGAAGACACTGGTGACAACAGAATCCTTTCCAGGTATTTTATTACTATCTTCTCACCCCAGAGGCCCAGCTTTAGAGAGTTTACTCTCTAAACTCATTCCATTGTCAGTTTCGGATGTGTTGGGGGCTGCAGGGGTGGAACTGACAGACAGCAGGGGAAACACAGATTCCTACAAACTTCATCGGGTAAGTCGGTCATTTGCCGGAATCGGAAACACAGCTTCATCCTCATTCTTTGCACCGGGGTCCCCACCCAACCTCGCCATTACCAGACCTGCTGATGAGCAGCAAAATGGGAAGACCTGAAGCACATCTTCATTCCTCACCCCAAATACCCTTGGGTGGGAACTAGCAGTGAGCAGAGGAATGGCTGGACCGTAGGTAGGTGTGGGGTGTGAAAAGCAGTGGACTTGGGGACTCTGCCGACCTCCAGATAACAGCTGGTTGGGCTAGTTAGAGATCAAACTTAGGCGTTTATAAGCATCTTACAGCATTGGAAGGGATGTGTTTCATTATGTGCCAAGGAGACCTTTATTGTTGTCACATGGAATTTGGACTTCAATAGGGCTTCACCCATGAATTTGGTTCCGAAGAAATAAGGATGGCTCATTTATCTCAGGGAGGATAATGAACTTCAGCTCATCTACAGGAAACTTGTAGCACACATCTGCTTTGTCACACTGAGGCCACCAGGTGAGCCAGATTTGTCCCAGGGAAAATATTTCACTGCTGAATTTCAGAAGACCCTGGCCTCTCCCCATGATCAGTCATCATCGCAGAAGCTGCTGTTTCCATGGCCTGTGTGTTCATGGCCTATGCATTGCCCATACATTTCCTCATTCATTCTCACCCCGCCCATAGGCAGGTAGGTGGGGTTGTACACATTACGGCAAACAAGGGAGCTTGGGTCACCCCTCAGATTAGGAGATGGCCCCGCTGGGGTCTCGGACTCAGACCTGTCAGACTCCATGGTCCACATTCTTTTCATGACCCCCCATTGCCTGTGGTGGGTGAGCCCCTGGCTGCAGAGGGAAGCTGTTGAGATATGCATTTGGGGAGAAGCCCACACAGGGAGAGACGAGAAGGAGGTGGCAGGTGCCCAGCTTTCCATCTCCACGCTGCCTTGCTTCCATGCCTGGGCTGTGGGGCACCGAGGGCGAGGAGTCAGGAGCCCGGGTGCTGAGGAGCGAGGCCCAGCGGAAGGCTCCTGCTGACTGCCCGTGACGGCCAGAGCCCCTCTCCCTACCTCTGGCATGGTTGTCCAGCAGCCATCTGTGTCTTCGTGTGTAGCTGCACCCTGTTCTAATGCCGATGAACACTGACGAGCAGGTGGCTCAGGGCCGTCCTCTGCTCCATCGCAACTCAGGGAGGGGCCGTTGGCCATTTGCCACGCTGCTCAGCTTCTCCCTAAGCAGGCGAATTCTCAGTCATCTCTGAGCAGCCACAATGTGAGGGAGTCTTCTGGACTTGGGGACCTCAGAAAAGGTCAGGCACAGCTCTACCCTGCAGGGGCTCACAGCTAGAGACAGATAAGACGTGCTCCATGCATTCTGTGAGGACTGGTGGGACACCTTAGTTGTTAAGAGGCAACTGAGGATTTCACATTTTAGACCTCAGGCAGGTGGAGAGGATTGAGATAGCCTGGGGGGCTGAGACGTCACCTGCATTGAGAGTTGAGGGATAAGGGGGGTCTGGATTTGGAAGAGGGAGAGAGAAGGCATTCCAGGTGAAGAAACAGCCTGAGCAAGCGGCTGGCACACAGTGGGCACCCCAGTGAGGGAGTGGGGGAGACACAGAAGCCTTGGGGGAAAGCCAGCATCTTGGATATGAGCTCTGTCAAGAAGTACCAGCAAAACCCATCCCTGTGGAGGTGAAACAAAGGAGAAATATTGAAAAGTAGACCGTTACCTCGGCATATGTGGGAAGGAGAGGCCTGGCTGACTTTTCAGTGCAAAGGCTGTACTCTGATCTCCCTGCACAGAGCAGGCAGCAGCTACCTTCCCAGCTCTCCCCACCTCACCTCAGGCAAAGCTGGAATTACTGTGAAGCAGTTCAGTCCAGGTAAAAGCTACATGCAAAAAGGAAGCAGAGGTGTGCTTGTGTGAATGAGTGAGGACCCCTGAGGCCCCTCCTGTGTGCCAGGCCATGTCATCTGCTCCCTGCAGGGTAGGAGATGCCATCACTTGCTTTCACACTCGGGAAAACTGAGTTCAAAGTCCATACCTGGCCCAAGTCTATTGAATGGGACTGAGCCTTGGGCATCTCTCTTCCCTGAACTGGGATGTTTCTCCTGGCTGTACCTTGACTCCGTCACCACCTGTGGCTTCCCATTGGTCAAAGCAGAAAGGCCCATTGAGGTCCAGTGTGCCAGAGCCTGCTGGACGCCTTGTGACCTGTCTCCCAGCTTCATCTCCCTCCACCTTCAGTTACCCTCTCCCTGCATCCCCAGCATGCCAGGCACCCTGGCATTAGTTGAGGTCCTTGAATGCCCAGCCCTCACCTAAGCTCCTTCACCTTTGAGGACCCTCTGTCCCCTGCCTGTCTCCTGCCTTGCTCCCTTGGGTCTCAGCTTCACTGTCACTTCCTCCAGGCAGACTTCTTGGATTTCTCCAGGCTATTTTTAATCCCCCTTTATATGTTCTTATAGCCTCTACTCTTATCAAAACAGTAATTTCTATAATCGTTTGTGTACGGATGTATTTATCCTCTGCTCTCCCCCTAGATGATGAGCCAGCTCCCTGGAGGTGGGGAGAGCGCAGTGTGACCCCAGCATTTAGCACAGCTCCTGGCTCGCAGTTGGCGTTCAGTGCAGATGCTTTGGGTGAATGAATGAATGAATGAATGAATGAATGTGTGCTCTCGGTCTGCTGTCCTTAGTCCCTGGCACACATAGGCTCTTGATGGTGCTTGCCGAGAGAATGAAGTTCAGGATGCCAACCTGAATCAACCTCGTGTTGGTTATACTGTAACACAAAACCACCTAAAATAAAGCATGCTGGAAAGAGTGAGAGTCCCCTCCTCACAGGGATGCGCTTTTTACTAGAAAAATACTAGAAACACCGGGGAAAAGAGTGCCCTGCGTCTCCAGGCGCTCCTGTGTGCTGAGTCAGCTCTTACGGACACCGCTGGCTTCCAGGCAGGAGGAGCCTTTTTCTTTGTGGGTGCATTTTGTTTCGTTTCTGTGCTGTGATACCATCCAGGAAAAACTAGCACGGGCTTTGCCTTAGGACAAGGCCTAGCCCAGCACCTGGCACGTAGTAGGTGCCCAATAACTATTAGTTGGAAACGTGCCGAAAGCAAGAGAAATTTTCAGGACAGCAGTGAGCAGGAAAACCAGGGCTGCCAATGATGAATTCCCTGGGGATAAATAAACTGTGTGTCAAATGCCTTTTTTTTCTGGACTGCAGAATGCCAGCCACATAGTAGGTTTCCCTGGAGGAAGCTGAGATGGCCGTCTCTGTACCCGGCCACATCAGCACCCAACACCTTGTTCTGCTGTGGAGCCGTGAGACGAGCCACTTTGACCTGCAGTACACTGTTATCCCCACCAGCTCCATGAAGTAGGGGGTGGGAATGACAAACCATTTGACAGATGAGGAAATCTGATCAGAGACAGAATACTTGGCTAAGGTTGCCAGTCAATCAACCAGGAGCCAGGATGACAGCCCAGGCCTCTGGCTGGGTCTCGTCTGCCTCAGCCTTGCCTAGGTGAGCCAGCTTTACTAGAAAGCCAGGGACCCATTCCATACCAGCCTCATCGTGTATGAAAGGAGAAGAGGTGATACCCCGGAGAGCTAGACAAGCGGCCAGAAGCACTGGGCACAGGACGGAGCACTGGAAGGGAGTCAGGATACCAGGTCTGGGCCCAGGTCTGACCTTAGCTAGCAGAGGACGTCCGGTGAGTCTGCACACTTAGGGATCCTTGGAAAAAGACCCTTCCTGCCGCGAAGGCGTATGACTTTCAAGAATATGTGGTCTTGCTTTCTATTTAAAATGTATTCTCGCTGTTTTTTCTTGTTGATGAGGGCCCAGTGTGTCTCTCTAATAGCTATCCTCCTATTTGTAAGCGCACTCCAGCCCAAGTGGGCGTATTGGGTAAAATGTCTCATTTCTGTCCCTGGGTCTGAGATGGTCGTTTGCCGAAGTCCGCATGTGGGAGCCTCAGGAGGTGGGTGGGGTAAGGTGGGGGAGGGGATGAGCCCTGCTGAGCCACCCGGAGCTCTTGGTGGCACGAGTTCAAAAACGTGTGTTTATTTTTCAGGACTAGTCACAGTGACTTCAGCATTTACATTCGACGACATTCTAATAGGTCTTTGGAATCGGTTAGTATGTGAATTTCTTCTTCCTCTGTGCACCCCTGCTAATCAATTCCTTTCCACCCTTCCTCCTGCCCAGCCCAGAGCTTTGAAATTACTGACGTGCAGCAGCTAGACTTTTGGATAGAAGACAAGCAAATTGAAACCTTGTCGTTAAGCACAGTCCAATCGGATGTCCAGTTTGGGCAGTAATGGATATAAATAAAGTGATGATTTTAAAGCCCAAAGGCCTCTTTGTTATATTAAAAAAAATAAACAAACAAAAAAATGCATCCAAGACCCCCACCCTCACCCCTGTACACACACGCAGAATGATCACGTTCAAAGACAGGCGTGCAACAGAAGTGGAGGGTCTGCTTTACATTAGCAATCACTTAGCTCTGGATGTGCTGGGACCCAAAGCACCACAGGCCACAGCCCTGATTCAGGTGGTGGGTGATGGGGCCACCAGTGGGGGGTCGGGAGAGTGGGTAGCATAATGTAGCATGTTGTTTAACAGTTTGACTTGGGAAGTAGATGTTTGCAGTGTTGAAAAAAAAACATGGCATGCTCGGCTTTGTATATTTAAAATCGTTTTATTTTCTGTTTCAGAGATTTCATCTTTACTAATTGGGTTGCGGGGGTTTTGTTTATAAATTTCACTGTAGGATCATTTTAGCTATGTTCAATTGAGGAACGCAGCTGATGTGGATGAGAGAAGGAACCGAATGTTAAGCAGGTTGGTGGCTTTACTCCGAGTTTTGTGGGGTTTAAAAAATATTTTCCTTTTTAATTATGCAGCCTCCCTTCCAGGGGTGGCGATTCTTCTGCTATCCTCTGTTGATACCAAGAGTTAAGAGTCTGTGATAATGCAAGAAAAATACCTGTTTCAGAGAAATTGCATATGAGTCGGTGGGAAAAGTAGATATTAATAAACAGAAAATGTCTCAGCTTAAGGACGGCTCTGCGTCAGGCAGCTGCGTTTAAATAATGCAGTGGCATGGCCTGGCTGTCCGAGGGAGAGCCAGACAGGAGCAGTAGTGACGTGGTACTGAGTGTGATCTAAATGCTACCGTGCCTGACACCCATGTTCATTCTGTGTCACCATTGCAGGTACAATACTGAGAAGCTCACTGAGCTGATTTTACAGTTTTATGGCATCAGAGCAGACATGAAGAGGGAATGCAGACATGCCAGGATGTCTATGAAAGTATCTGTGACTGTTGGAGAACTAGATGACCTAGTCTAAGATTGCTGAATTGCTGTGAAATAGCCCACTTAGGACATAGGAAACTAAAGCTGACAAGTCTGAGATGCCCCTATCCCTGTGAAAGTTACCAAATCACTTCATTTTATTGATTTTGTTTTTATATATTTGCCACAGCTTTCAACTGGCTGAGAAGGACTTAAATTATTGGAATGGAAAACCTCTGTCTGAATATTGCCCAACACTCAAGAGTGTAATCCCTAAAACTCCACCTCTCTGGCTCCTTAAAAAGAAGCAAGACCCTGCCATGAAATGGAAATATTAATTCAAGTTTTCCATTAGGCTTGACATACTCATAGGAAAACAGTACTTTTGGTTTTTATGAGAGAGAGACTTTGAAAATCGAACCTGCGAGCCTGAGAAATGCAGTCGTGCTTTCCATGTTTTTGAGCATTTATTACTTCAAAAAAAGACGTAAATTTTCTGTAAAAACAGTTTTAAGAAAGAGAAAGAAATTCTGTCAGTTGCCCGTTATCTGCCTGTGAATCACTCAGTTTCTAAACCAAAGCAAATGTTTCTTCATCCTTGGCCTGTCTTGTCACTGGGTCAGGGCAGAGTCCAGGGATGAAGTGGGCTTCCCTCCTCATCATCTCCATCACACGCACCAAATGACCCTAAGAAGCTTACAGGCTCAGCTTCTATAAATACAGCTTCAAGCAGAGGCCCCCAACCCCGCTTCCAATCAGATTATGGCCTCCAACCCTTTCCTTGGTGGAAATTTGGAGCTGTGGTTGGTCTCCACCACACAGCGCCCTTCTGGGCTTTATCTGCCAGGCAAAAGCAAAATGTCACTTGAATGCCACCTTCTGTAAAATAAAAGAAGAAAGATAAATCTGACCAAAACCAAATCTAGTAATTATTTTGAAGGTTATATTCCAAAGCCAAAAACCAAACTTGGCGGTGGTAGGATGTGCCTTTGTTTGTGATGGCTGTTTTCAAATTATCTGTAATCAGGGAACTCTCTGTTCCTTTTCATGACTTATGAAGTCCCCTGTTACTCATGACAGAGCTGTCAGTATCTAAGTCTGCGTTTAGGGCACTGTGGTGGAAGGGACGGTGCCCTGGACTGGCAGTTAGACCTGGCCCAGAGTCCGGCTCTGTCACAAAGTAATTGTGTGACCTGAGGCAAGCCACTCCACCCACGAGTCTCAGTATGCCCATCTGCAGAATGGGCTAACACCTCTCCCTCTTCATGTTGTGGCGATGAACTGAGCATGTGTGAAAGCCCACAGGGCTGCCTGCACTCCAGCCCCTCCACCTTGGGTCTACACGCAATGTGGGGCCTCTTGGACGCCTCTCTGGGCAGCCCTCAGCTCTCCAGTTGGGCAGTGAAGTTGGAGTACAGGGAGCAAGTGGGGTCATCTAAAACTGGGGACCCACTTGTAACTGCCTTGCCTGTGTCTTCCTTCTGCAGGAAAGCCAACCACTCCGGAGAAGCCACACTGCCGGAGAGCCACAGCCTGCAGAACGACTCGCTGGCACAGTTCGTCCAGCAGCCGGACATGATGTATTTTATCCTCTTCCTCTGGCTCCTGGTGTATTGCCTGCTGCTCTTCCCACAGCTGGACGTCAACAGACTCTGAAGCGTGTGTCTGCATAATAAAAAGACAGGGCCCTTGACGGGGTGGGGGTCTTTATACTTCATTTTATTTCAGGTTCTGGAAAGGGCACCTCTGCAGACAGCTGGGGACCTACCAGGAAGCTTGGACTCCCCGCTTTGTTTTCATGTTTCCTTTGCCTCCTGTGCGTCTAAGCATGCTTTCTGTCCGGCTGTGTACTCAACACTCAGGGGTATGCCGAATCCTTGGGTGGGCTTTGTTCTCACGTGCCTTGCTTTGTCAGTTACTAGTATTTAGCTGTAACCCGGGCCTTAGCCCGTCTCATATGCAGGTTTTTAAGGTCCAAGTTACTTAACCTCTCAGGTGAGGGTCCTCCTGATGAGAAAGAAGGTGGATGTCCCAGGCAGAGCCTCCACTGGGAAGGAAACTGCCACGTTTTTACCCAGGAGGGGATGTTGGAGTAAAGGTGCCTGGTGTCCATGCACCTGTGTGGTCTGGGGGACCTCTGAACAGCACACAGCTGCCAGCTCCAGGAAGGGGCATCAGGAATTGCAAAACGCACGGAGGAGCGTGAAGGCTGTGTCATGAGCTGCAGTGCACTCTTTTTCACCCTAGTTTTTTGTTTTTGTTTTATCTTTGTTTTTTAAAGATTTTATTGGGGAATTGGGGAAGGGGAACAGATACGTTGTTGTCCTTCAGTCTTAGTTGTGAAGGACGCAGCTAGCTCAGCTTCAAGTCCAGTCTCCATCCGGCCGCCCATCGGCAGCTCAGTGGCCCATGTGGGAATCGAACCGGCAACCTGCTGCTCAGAGTTTGCACTCTTAACCAACTGAGCCACTCAGCCAGCCCCTTCACCTTAGTTTTTTTTAAGTAGAAGGGTGGGATACATTTTAAACTTACTTTTGCATTGATTGAATTGAGGTGATTTTCAAATTTTTTTCACCAATGGGACCCTCCTTTTAAATGAATTCTTTTAATCATAGACTAAAAGCAGAGCTTTGGCTGACACAGGGCAGGCCTGGGGTCCCTCCCACTTTGCCTCGGCAGCCCCCTGGCTTCCATCGATGGCTCCCGAGGCATCCGTGCCAGTCCCCAAGGCCCCACTAGGCACTGCAAAAAGCCCTTAAAAGCCTGAGGAGTGAAGGAGAGGCTGAGCTAAGAGCAGCTCCAGCTGATGTTAGGGCTAGAAGTGGCCCAGCAAGTTCTCACCCCTTTGTGAGAAAGCCTTTGTGGACCCCTGCTTCAGAATGCAGTCTTGGCGTGGGCATGCTTGGTGGTCCTGCACAATGGGTTTCTTGAAAAGGCTTCCTGGAAAGCACCCTGAGAAGTAAACTAGAATAGGTGGGTGGTTTGAGAGAGGACAGAGGCACCCACCCGCCCTTCCGTCTCCTGCCCTGGGCTTCCTCTGCCCTGTTTCCTTCGGAAATGCATTGCTTCCTGCCCCCATTGTCCTCGTGTTAGGTGACAACTTACAAAATCACAAACTATTAGGTCAGGAGGGGCAACACAGACAGCATCTTGATCAGCTGAACCCAGAGAGGCAGAGTGGATTGTCCGAGGTCACCCAGCCCACTAGGAGCAGACTCACAAGCACACCCAGACCACCCACCTGGTGCCCAGTCCAGAGCTGCCACCTCTCTTAGGGAATTTCCACTGCACCCATGAATGTCCTTTAAAAAGATAAAATGATTAGATAAAAATGACCTCATTTAAACAAAACCAGAATTTTTAGACCAGTCTTCAACCTTTGTTTTGTTCTTGTATTTTTCCCATGAGGAAGTTTTAATCACTTCCAAGCTCATCTCTATTACTTCTGGGGGGCCCTCGACAGCTCTAACTGCTTATTGGTTGACATACTAGCATTGTTCTCACTCCAGGAATCACATTTTCTCTTAGCAAGCCAGGGACTCGCTTATTTCAAACAGTGAGGTTCAAGTTTACAGGATTCCAGCATGGCCCATAGAATTCACATAGCACATCTGAGTCGATGACAGCCAAAACCTGGCCTCTAACCCACTCTGATTACAGACTGCCTTCTCTCCAGGAACGAATCTAAGCCTTCCCAGCCGAAAGCTGTTGGGAGCTTGGAGTGATTCCATCTTGAAGGCCAAGCATCCCATGGAAAATGAGCTAATTAATGAGCGCCCTGGCATCCCCGAAAGCTCCAAGGTACAGATAATAAAGATTATGTGTGTGATATTTTAGAACCCTGGACACCAGGCAGTGCTCGCCAAAATTAGATGCTTTCAGAGCCAGAGAAGAGCTGACCCAAACGTTAATCATTTCATTTACGGGTTTAGACTTTATTCAGAAAAATCTCTGCAGGCTTCTTCTCTCACTTATTACAACCTTTAATATTGTATAAAACCATTTACTGGCAAAATACCTAAAAGTCATTTGGTTCAGGTTGGCAGCAAACTGATTTTTTTTTTAAAGGAAAAAAAAAATTCTCATTTGAGTATAGGCTTATATGGAAGATTCTGGTTATAAAAAGCGGATATAGAAACCTGCAGGAAAAACCACCCCATGGCTTGTTTTTTGTTTTTTTTTTTTAGGGTTGATTTTAAACTCTTATCCAAGTAATACATGTTCATAGTTTCAAAAGAAACAAACACTGTAAGGTTTTCAATGAAAACTAGCAAACCCCCTGAGTCTTGCTCCCTGGAAGTAACACTTGCAACTCTTAGCTGTTTCTTCCACTATTTACCTTTGCATTTCTACATAACTTGCTTATACTTTAATTTTTTAAATTAGCCTCGAAGCATCTTGTGACTTGCTATTGTGGTAGGTTAGGCTGTTGCTCTACCCATCCCCCACTTTGTTTATCCAGCATAATTAGATCATCTTATTTGGTGCATCTCTATTCGGTGTCGGTGTGTAAGGGCAGTTGACTTCTGAGTCAAGTCGTGCGCTGTGGTTCCATGTGCTTTCTTGTCAAATGTTTCCCCTTTGATTGGATTTTTTTGGAGCTGTGGCACATTCCTTAGTAACTTCCCAAGAAAAGGAATGTGGGAAGTAAATGTTGTAAATATTTTGAGGTGTTTGCATAACTTAAAATGTCTTTATTCTGCCCCTACCCGAAGTGGGTAGGTAAAGAATTGCAGGTGGAAAATAATGCCCTCTCCCCACCCCCAATGTGATTGTTGAGATTCTGGTGCCATTTTGATTCCCAAGGCTTTAGCTGTGGCTCGGGTTTCTCCCACTCCCAGGAGATACTTAATATCCCTTCGTCGTTAGGTTCTGAACTGTCTTGATGGTGTTGTACCCTTGATGGTGTACCTCATGCTGGGCTCTCATGGAAAATGTCTTAAATTTTCGTGTAATTGTTCACCTTTCCTTCTGGACTGCCTATTATTCCAATGTTGGACCTCCCAGGTTAACCCTATAATATTTTTCATCTTTTCTACTTCTCGTCTCTTTATTATTATTTTTTTTATCTGCTTTCAGGAAGTTATTCCGCTTTATCCTCTCAATACTCCTGCTGAATGTTTTATTTAATTTTAATTTCCAAATCAATTGTGTTGTTCTGTCTCTTGCTCCTGTTTTATAGTGTCCTGTTCTTGTTTCATGGGTGCAGATCTGAGTTCCCTGTGGATGTTCATGCTAGTGGGGTTTTTGGAAGTTCTTTTCTCCTCCCTGTATGGTCTTTGTTTCCTGTAAGTTTCCTTTCTCTCGGTTAGTCTCAGCCTCTGTCTTTCATGTTACAAGTTTTCTTCAAATATCTGGTGATCCTGTGGATCTGCTCATGTTTAACAGTCATGCATCAAAATATGGATTGGAAACTTCATGTGTCAACTGGTGGGTTTTTCTGTAGGGTCACCAGGTGGGCTCCTGGACTCCTCGTGGGAGGAACCCACATATCCATATTTGCAGGTCTTTTCTCTAGGGCTCTTTTCCTTTCTTTAGAGACATTTCTGCTTGTCTCCTGCCTGGGAAAGAGGAACATACATGAGGCTGCTACTAGCCTATGCTGTGCCCTCATGCAGTTTCTAAAAAGGCGTCCACTCTGGGTGGATGACGTGGTAAAAGATGTCCCTCTCTGGGCAGAAGCCACCCAATGGGCACTTGGCTTGACTGGAAGATGGTACCTATTGCCCATTGTTTCAGGAGGATGCAATCCTGAGCTAGGGTAAGGCTTGAGGAGCAGAGCAAGGGCTAGATTTCAACTCCCAATTACCCTTAGTCATGCGCCTTTGTGCAGTGCACAGACTGGAGGGCCGTATGCACCCAGAAACCCCAGCACACTCCCGAGTGTCCAAGCCCTGACCTCTGAGCAGTGAGACTCCTCACAGTCAGCATTTAGACTCACTGAATTGCTCCCACCTGGCTGGACCTGGTGTCACTGGGTTGGAGTTCTTTCGTTTCTCCACGCAGGGGGACTGCTGCCGCTGACTGCTCAGTGGCATGCCTCTGCAGGGATGTGGTATCAGGAATCCTCCTTCCTGCCCACTTCCCAGCAGCTCTGCCCCTGCCGTAAACGGGTTGGCATTCCTTGCCTGCTGGGGTCTTCTCTCCGTGCCTTCGTCTTCATGACTGCATAACTTCCATTCCTTGGCTTTTGTTTTCATGTGGTTTCACCAGGGAAGAAATGAGCCCATGTGTTCAATCCACCATGTTGAACCAGAGCCCCTATTTGAGCTTTCTCACCATCTTGTTCGGTGGCTCCGTGCTCTGTGGACTTGACGGTGAACTTGCCCTGCGTCCAGCTGGGGCTGCGGCAATGTCCATCCTGCCGAGCGGTGGTCTGCTGAGCATCTTCTTGCAATGCTGGGCAGGAGAGGCTGCCATAGCACGCAGAAGCGCTGCTTGAATGCCGCAATTAAAATGGTTCTCCTTCCTTCCCCCTTTTTTTCACCCCTGCCCCCACAAAACTTAGATCCCTCACCTCCCCACAAGCTCCTGTCTATGGAGTCATCCAGTTTCTAGGTTTCCTCTCTGCCACCGCACTTCATTTGGAAACCAGTAGTCCACAGTGGTGTTAACCAGAGAACAAACAGGGTGGTCCTTCTGCTAGTTGGCTGTTTGGACCTGGCCAGCATTTTCTCTAGCCAAACCCAGTCTCTATAGGGAGATGGGCTCCCACCAGGATGGTTAATAAGAGAGTGCACCCGTGCTGCCCCCAGGATGGCCACCCAGCACATGTGCTGCGTCTCCCTTCCTGGAGTTCAGCGTAGTTCCCCCAACTCTGTCCCTGTGTGGTGCTTGCCTGCTCTTTGTAAGGGGAGAACTGGTAGGAGGCAGAAGCATTTAGAAGCTGCCTGGATAGTCCGTCTTCATAAATTCTAGATTATTTTTGTCTGTCAGCCTTAGGGATCATGTAAGGGTCCAGCACCTCGCTTGAGAAATGAGAAAATTGACGATCAGGAAGGAGAGATGACCAGTCACACTGCTATTAATAGTTTGGGCCCTCAGGATGGATGCCTTGATTCCCACCTAGCCTTTCTCCAAAACCGCAGCCTCCAGCCACTGAAGCTAACCTGTGTCCCGTCTTAGCCAAGGACTCAGAACATCATGGAACCAGTTTCTCAAACACAAGTCAGAGGAAACAAGTGGAGAATGTGACTTAGTGTCAGAATCGGCCATGGCTTCTTTGGTGAGAGCGCTTCCCTCTGCGGTTATGACATTGGAGTGTGGTCATGTGACGTCAACTCTTGCACGCAAGCTCGGTTTTGCTCCGA